AATGCATTAACTTAATTACACATCTCTGTTTAAAATTACATTTTTTAACATTTATTTTATTTTTGAGACAGAGACAGAGCATGAACCGGGGAGGGGCAGAGAGAGAGGGAGACACAGAATCTGAAGCAGGCTCCAGGGTCTGAGCTGTCAGCACAGAGCCCGACATGAGGCTCGAACTCACGGACTGCGAGATCATGACCTGAGCCGAAGCTGGATGCTCAACCGACTGAGCCACCCAGGCGCCCCTAAAATAACATTTTTAAAAGAATAGATTTATTTTAGAATATTGCTCTTTTCCATTCTTCCATCTCATGAAGCAATTTGCTCACTTCTCCGTATTTCCCTTCCACACAATTTACATGTATCTTCTATCATCTCTTAGCTTCTTGTTGTGATTTGGACTGACTTATTAAGAATGATGTTCTTAAGAGAAAAATCTTTTTGTGGTTATATGTAAACATGTGATAGGTTTGCAGAAGTTACAGTTAAAGAGGGTAGTGAAGTAGTCAGCTATGTTCCATTTATTTGAAGGTCAAACCAGCTACACCCTCAGGACTTTCTCAATGGTGCTGAGATAGGCAGTTGTTTTCAGGTTCAATCCCAGGTTATACTTTGCAGCTGCGTACATGATTTGCCTGGCAGAAAACTCCCCAGTGTAAGGTAAACCAGAATGTACAATGTCTTTTCTCAGATACTCTGTTTTGGAACCCTGCTGTGGATATAATAGGAAAAGTTTGATGGTGCTTTCTACATTTTCTTTCTAAACTATCTAGAATAGACATGAAAAAGCAGTAGGTAGAATCTCTTTCATATTTAAGGTCAAAGAGCCATAGCTGACTACACACACACAGAAACAAGCTGACTCCATATTCAGCATGGAGCCTGGTGAGGGACTCAGTTTCACAAGCCTGGGATCATGACCTGAGCTGAAATCAAGAGTCAGATGGGTGAACCAACTGAGCCATCCAGGTGCCCCATGATTTACATTCTTTAGTCACTCAAAGTAAGACACTGTCACTCCTTCAACATTCAAGTATAAATCAGGAATGACCGTAATGTTCCTCTTCAGAAAAATCTTACAAGCTCCTGGAGTTGTTGGTTCATTGGAAGCATCAGCAATGATCTTGGCTTTCATTCTGGGTGCACTGGCCTTGGTTACCTGCTTTTCATTGGCAGTAGGAATAAGTATGCCAGTTTGCTGGCAAGATACTTCCTAGGGCTTTGCCTTGGAGAAACCCAGAATTGATTCATGTTGCGATTTTATTTTTTTAAAAAATTAAGCTTATTTATTTGTTTTGAGAGAGAGTGAGTAGGGAGGGACAGAGAGAGAGGGAGAGAGAATCCCAAGCAGGCTCCACACTGCCAGCACTGCCAGCACAGAGTCTGATGTGAGGCTTGAGCTCACAAACTGTGAGATCATGTCCTGAGCAGAAACCAAGAGTCTCATGCTTAACTGACTGAGCCCACCCAGGTGCTCCGATTCATGTTGCAATTTCAAGTCTTCTAGTTCCTTTTGGTCAATGCCATCTGAATTCCATATTCTCCCATTAGATTCACCAACACCAACACATTTAGCAAAATAATGTAACTATAGAGTGCAAAATTGCCAAAGCCCTAAATAAGAAATGTTTTCTTTCCAAACCCTGGTGTCATTCCAAAAATGCTCATGAAAGAAGCTTCACTGAGGAAGTTTTCAATTCATGTAAAACACTGGCCAGTAGCGGAGATGTCAGCGGTTGAGACCCCAACTGATGGATTTACCAGGATAGCAGGCATGTGCGTTAATTTGCATGCTCTATGCAAGCCCTATGATGCTGGCATAGGTGTCAGCAATCTAGGACATCTCTCACTCACATTGCCTATGTCTGAGGAAAGCACATCAATTCCAGGACCAATAAAGCCCGGTTTTGTTAGTTCCACGGTGAACCCCCTTGTAATCTTTCCCCACTTCCTTACTGGTGTAGTTTTGGGGATTAATCTTAACACCAGCGTTAGCATCTCCAAATGGCACATCAACCCCAGCACATTTAGAGGTCATAAGGGAAACCAAAACTTTTATCTTCCCTAGATTCACACCTTGGTTGTAACGGGAGCGTGCAGTGCCGGCTGTGCTGGCCCCATAGCCCCAGATGACCTCTGGGGAGCCGTTGTCTTTCGGGATGGGGACCGGCAGGCTGAGCACATGGTTGCAGGGCTTCACGATTCGCAGGATGCCACACACCTGGGGTGCAGCTTCTTCTCCTCACTCCCCTGGTTCTGGATGTGTGCCGCCAGCCCGTCCTCCGGGATGCCGGCCTCACGGTCGCAGAGGCTTCTCACCACCTTGAAGAGGTAGGGGCTGTCCTCACAGCCCGCTGCCTCCATGTTGTCACGTGGCCGGGGGGCTGCGCAGGCCAGCGCAGCTGCCGCGTTTCTTGGTAGGGCGGCACGAGCTCTTGGAGGCCGGGGGGCGGGGTTGGGGGGAGTGGCCTTTTAAACTTCCCGCCTTCCCAGCAGTCTCCTTCCCTCGCGCCGCCCACCGCCTGACTGGGAGGAGTCGGCTGCACCTGATGGTTCTTTGCGAGGTAGGCCCGCCCTGACCAAAAAATGGAGGCCATTAACCCAGGTGCCTTTCTTTCCCCACCCTTGGGTCGTCCCTGAATGGAGGTGGGGGGTCTGCATGCTTAAGGAATTCAGCCCGCACCGTAGAGCTCCGGGCGCTCAGGCCTGGGGCGCGCCCTGCGGTGCAAAGAGGGCTGCGAGCGCTGGAGGTGGACCTGAGGCTGTGCGGGCAGGGGATTCTGAGGGCCCAGAGTTCTGTTTGGAGCCTGAGTTCCACAGTGTGCTGGCTGCGGGACTCTGCAGGACCCTCACCCTGTGGAGGGTGACGGGTGGGAAGGAAGCCAAACAGGAACCTCTAACTCCAGGCCCCGGGCCACAGTTGCCTGGGCCTAAAGGTGGTGCTGTTTAAAGGTATTTGTCCTTGGTCTCCGTCTGTTTTGAGAATTTTCTTTGTCTTGGGTTTTCAGTAGTTTATTATGCAGTGCTGAGGTGTGGTTTCTTTTGCGTTTATCCTGCTGGAGGTTCATAGTAGTTATTAGGCAACTCTCATCTTCAGACCCACCATTGTGTGCAGTCCGGGTTCTGGAAAGCGTATTTGACAAGACTTCTCTTAGGTTCCGGCACTAACGGGAGACTGCTTGCTGTTTCTGTTAGCAGCCCAGCAATAGCTGGGCTTCCACTTTCCAGCTTTTTCTTGGCACTCCCAGAACTGATCTCCTTATGCCCTCTCAGCAAGAAAGTTCCCCTTCTGAGCTCCACAGGCTCCCTCCTCTGAACTCCTGAGACAGCAGCACGGACAGGCAGCACGCCTCTTCAGGGAAGTGAGTCCCAGCTCACAGAGAATCTCTTGCAGGCTTGTAGTGGCTGGCAGTCCAACTTCATCTTTTTCCCCTAGCCCTAAGGACGGTAGCTACTTCCTGTAATTAACACCTCTGTATCACCATAATGTGCCCGTTTTGCTGTTTATTTATTTATTTTTTTAAATTCAGGTTAGTTAACGTACTGTGTAGTCTTGGGTTTAGGAGCAGAACTCTGTGATTTATCTCTTCTATATGACACCCAACTTCTCATCTCAAGTGCCTGCCTTAATGCCCATCACCCATTTAACCCATCCCCCTACCCACCTCCCCTCCAACAACCCTCAATTTGTTCTCTGTATTTAAGAGTCTCTTATGGTTTGCTTCCTCTTTCTTATTTTTCCTTCCCTTCCCCTGTGTTCATCTGTTGTGTTTCTCAAATTCCACATAGGAGTGAAATCATATGTGTCTTTCTCTGACTTACTTTGCTGGGCATAATATACTCTGGTTCTATCCACGTTGTTGCAAATGGCAAGATTTCATTATTTTTCATCACCGAGTAGTATTCCATTATATGTATGTGTGTGTGTGTGTGTGTGTGTGTGTGTGTGTATATATATATATATACACATACATACATACATACATATATACATCACATCTTTATCCATTCACCAGTCGATGGACATTTGGGCTCTTTCCATAATTTGGTTATTGTTGATAATGCTGCTATAAACATTGGGGTGCATGTGCCCCTTTGAATCGGCATTTTTGTATCCTTTGGATAAATATCTAGTGGTGCAATTGCTGGGTTGTAGGGTAGTTTGATTTTTAATTTTTAAAAACGTTTATTTATTTTGAGAGAGCATGACCAGGGAAAGGGCAGAGAGAGAGAGAGAGAGGGAGAGAGGGAATCTCAAACAAGCTCCACACTGTCAGTGCAGAGCCTGATTCAGGGCTCAAACTCATGAACCATGAGATCATGACCTGAACTGAAATCAAGAGTCAGGTGTTTGACTGAACCACCCAGGCACCCCTATTTTTAATTTTTTGAGGAATCTCTATTTTCCAGAGGGGAAGTCAGGTGCTTAACTGACTGAGCCACCCAGGTGCCCCTGATGTTTTTTAAATACTTGTTTTGTTGCTATAATGTGTTCTGCTTATTATTTTACTGATGTTATGACAAATTTTAAGTCCTGGGTTAATGCTATGTTGTATAATTTTTAGTATGTTATGTTCATTTGTTTAGATTTTGTTTAGGAAGGAAAGAGTTAAAAAACTCTACATTTTCTGTCATGTAATATGTGCATTTGTATGTTCAAAGGCCACCACCTTTGATGAAATCCTAAATATTCCTTCCTTGTAGGAAATATTTTTGGATGAGATGGCTTTTCAAGTCTGGAGAATAGCTATGTTGGAATTGTAGACTGTGAGACCATCTAGATCACAGGATATTAAAAACGAAAGGGGCCTTCAGTAGTGTCCAGTTATGCTGCATTATTTACAGGGGAGGAAACTGAGGTCCATAAAAAAGAATAACTCCGTCAAAGTCGAAGTGGGTTTGTGACCTTATAATTCATATTTTCTTCTAATCTACAGTGCTGTTCTATGAACCACACTTGGACATCTGATCACTATATTCCACTACCCAGTAAGAACTGATAAAGTGAGTGCCTTTTATATCACATTTATTTTACTGGTTGTTTGTTTGCTGGTTTCTTTGCTTGGCAGTTGTGATGTGCTTGGGTCTCATTCAATTTCCAAGTTACCAGGTGCGGCCGAAGATCATGGTATCTTTGTCCATGAGGGTCAGTTTCTCTTCTGGGTTAGGGGTGATGTCTGCCGAGTAACTTCTCTTTTTTTCAGGCAACCTAAGCTGTGCCCTAGATGTCATTGTCATATGAATGGAAATAAAAGAGATTTGGTTCACTAAGCAGGTGGCACTGCATTCATGATCCTATCCCAGGATATCTAACATGAAGTAAGGGAGGAGATCCACTGGTTGTATACCATCTTTCTATGCAGTGTTCATTCTTTGCTATCCTACATTGCTGCCCACGTGGTACTGAAGAGAAAGGAAGCTCCCTGCCTTAATTTCTGAACCAAATTGAGTTTTGACTGATGACAGAGGTTTTGTCAGTGTATGTGTTCTTTCACAAAGATGTAATCTTATTGCCAAAATATTGGAAAATTTTGTGTATTTTGCTGCTATGGGGGATAAATATGGGATAAAGTATTTGAAAGGGGACTACTCAAGAAAATACACAGTTACTATACTTAGACATATGCAGATATGCCCACTTTTCTTCATCACCCATCACTCAGATTCTGTCTTAAAAGGAATTCCCAGTAAGTCATAGATCGGACCATATAGAGAATGTGGCTAGCACTGTATATGCCACAGGTGAACATCTGAGACAGTCTTCTTCTCCATATGATATTAGGGGTCAGATGAAACTAGGGAGTAGGGAACTTAAAAAGGTTGAGAAAATGACCTGTCACTCAAGCAGTGCCTTTGAGGGCAGCATACTCAAGTACTTTATTGATGAGTATCTTGACAATGGAGTCTATTGTGGGCCTACTGTGTTTAACTCTTGAGTCTGAATTAAGCCCTCACGGTAATGCAAGTTTCTGGAGCACTTTTCAGAAAGGAATAATGGGCCTCACATTTCTTAGTTTGTGTTTAAGCTCTCCTACCTTTCTATCTCTTTATCCTATGCTTGTTTCTCCATGATTTTCTCTATATGGAACCATCCACACCTGACATACTTTGGCTCTTTGTATTGTTCAAAGAGACCAAGAAGTCATGGCTTGGCCCTGCCCTCAGGCTTCCATTCTCTTACTCCTTGTCCCTTTTATTTTTTAATTTTTTTAAATGTTTATTTTTGAGAGAGAGAGAGAGAGAGGAGTGAGTGGGGAAATGGAAGAGAGGGAGACGCAGAATCTGAAGCAGGCTCCAGGCTCTGAGCTGTCAGCACAGAGCTTGATACGGGGCTTGGACTCACGAACTGTGAGATCATGACCTGAGCCGAAGTTGGACACTTAGCCAACTGAGCCACCCAGGCACCCCAACTCCTTGTCCCTTGGGTTGGAGCATACCTGCTTGGTTTGGCGCTGCTCTCTCATGTTCTAGTGAGGACCCATGAGGCGTGGTTTCTTGACTATAGAAGGATGGGCAGGGGAGACCTCAGGGGAAAGGCCATGTGGGTGAAACCTGGCAGAAGCAGAAGAGAGACCTTCTTTTCTTGATTGTAGGGTTAGGGTCCAGGGTAGCAAGCTGATTGATCAGAGAACTGTCTTCTTAGGTTGTGGGCCTGGGCCCTTGATGGCTGTTCTCCAGTGCTTCCCAAATTTAGGGTCATCCCAGAATCTGGAGGCCTGATGCTTTTGTACCCAATAAGAGAAGGTTGTGATTGTGAATATATGGCGGCGAGTGATCTCATCCACCCCTCCCCGCTGTCCTGGTTTTCACTGTCCTGAAGGATTTTCTCATCACATTCCACCAGGAATGGGAATCACTAGCTCTGGGAGTTGCAATTCTCTGGTGATCATGTGGCCCACAGGGAATAGCCCTTGCTAGGTCTTAGGAGATGTAGTGTCATAGCTTATGAGAGCTTGTGTCCTCATCAGGAAAGTCAGGATAGTTCCTCATGCTTGCCTCAGAGGAATATTAAAATTAAGTAAAATCATAGGTCCAATGTGGTTTTTACCAAACAAAAGTGCTTCTCGTTATAAAAGTTTACAGTAATTACACTTAAAATGTATGTAAAGATGAGATTACCGGTCAGTTATTCCTTTCATGGTTTTAGCACTGATCAATTTAAGTACAATGATCTGTCTCTTATGGTTTTTATTTCACTAGAGCCAGCTGTCTGAGAAAGGATCAAATTTGGTTCAAACAGGGTCAGGGAGTTCGCCTTCATTTCCTGGTTCAGGAAGGACTGTATCTGAAATATATCAAACTGACTTTTAAAAAAGTATCTCTGAAGTCCTCTGCAGAACATGATGCTGCCATCTTTCTTGACCACCCAGTCCTCTTGTTTCTTAGTTGTCATTATTGGAAAGTTATCCCTAATGTCCAAATTAAATCTCTGGTGTTGTAGCCTGATCTTTTTTTCCCTAGTCTTTTTTTGTTCTTTTCCGTTTTTTAAAAAATTTATTTTAATTTATTTTTAATGTTTTTTAAAAATGTTTATTTATTTGGGGGTGGAGGGGCAGAGAGAGGGAGATACAGAATCTGAAACAGGCTCCAGGCTCTGAGTAATCGACACAGAGCCCGATGAGGTGCTTGAACTCACAAACCACGAGATCCTGACGTGAGCCGAAGTTGGATGCTTAATGAACTGAGCCAACCTGTTCTTTTCTGTTTTTTTTTTTTTAATCAAGATAAGTGTAGTCTTTAATCCCCATCACCTGTTTCACCCATTCCCCCCCCTCCACTGCCCCTCTGGTAACCATCAGTATGTTCTCTATAGCTAAGAGTCTGATTCTTGGTTTGTCTTTTTCCTTCCTTTGCTTGTTTGTTTTGTTTCTTAAATTGCACATAGGAGTGAAATCATATGGTATTTGTCTTTCTCTGAGTTATTTCACTTAACATTATACTTTCTAGCTCCATCCATGGTGTTGCAAATGGCAAGATTTCATTCTTTTTTATAGCTGAATTCTTTATTCATTCGTCAGTGGACACTTGGACTGCTGCTATAGTTAGGCTATTGTAAATAATGTTGCAATAAACATAGGGATGCATGTAACCTTTGAATTAGTATTTTTCCATTTTTTAGGTAAATACCCAGTAGTGTTATCACTGGATCATGTAGGACTTATATTTCTAACTTTTTGAGGAAATTCCATACTGTTTTCCACAGTGGCTTGTACCAGTTTTCATTCCCACCAAGAGTGCAAGAGGGTTCCCTTTTCTCCACATCCTTGCCTGTGGTTTCTTGTGTTGTTGATTTTAGCCATTCTGATGGGTGTGAGGTGATATCTCATTGTAGTTTTTAAAAAAATTAAAAAAAATTGTTTTTAAGAGAAAGAGAGAGACAGAGTGTGAGTGGGGGAGGGGTAGAGAGAGAGGGAGAAACAGAATCTGAAGCAGGCTCCAGGCTCTGAGCTATTACCATAGAGCCTGATGAGAGGCTTGAACTCGTGAACTGCTAGATCATGACCTGAGCTGAAGTCAGCCGCTTAACGAACTGAGTCACCCAGGCACCCCTCATTGTAGTTTTGATTGACATTTCCCTGATGATGAGTGAGGTTGAGCGTCTTTTCATGTGTCTGTATGCCATCTGTATGTCTTCTTTGGAAAAATGTCTGTTCGTGTCTTCTGCCCATTTAAAATTTTTTTTTTTAACATTTATTTATTCTTGAGAGACTGAGAGAGAGTGTGTGAGAGAGAGAGGGAGACACAGAATCTGAAGCAGGCTCCAAGCTCTGAGCTGTCAGCACAGAGCCAACAAGGGGCTTGAACCCACGAACCACGAGAGCATGACTTGAGCTGAAGTCAGCTGCTTAACTGACTGAGACACCCAGGTGCCCCTGCCCATTTTTAAATTGGATTGTTTGTTTTTTGGTGTTGAGTTGTGTAAGTTCTTTATATATTTTAGATACTAATCCTTTATTGGATATATCATTTACAAATATCTTCTCCATTCCATAGCTTGCCTTTTAGTTTCATTATTTCCTTCACTGCAGAAACTTTTTATTTTGATGTAGTCCCAATAATTTATTTTTGCTTTTATTTCTCTTGCCTTAGGAGACATATCTAGAAAACTGTTGCTATGCCCAATGTCAGAGAAGTTACTGCCTTTGCTCTCTTCAAGGATTTTTATGGTTTCAAGTCTCATGTTTAGGTCTTTAATTCATTTTGAGTTTATTTTTGTGTAGTGTGAAAGAAAGTGGTCCAGTTTCATTCTTGTGCATTGTAGCTGTCCAGTTTTCCTAACACCATTTGTTGAAGAGATTTTTTTCCCATGTATATTCATTCCTCCTTTGTTGAAGATTAATTGCCCGTATAATTGTGGGTTTATTTCTGGGGCTTCTATTCTCTTTTATTGATATGTGTCTATTTTTGTGTCAGTACCATGCTATTTTGATTACTGCATCTTTGTAATATAACTTAAAAGTCTGGAATTGTGATGCTTCCAGCTTTTCTTTTTCCAGATTGCTTTGGCTAGTTGGAGTCTTTTGTGGTTCCATACACATTTTAGGATTGTTCTATTTCTGTGAAAAATGCTGTTGGCATTTTGATAGGCATTGCATTAAATGTGTAGATTGCTTGGGGTAGTATAGACATTTTAATAATATTCATTCTTCCAATACATTAGCATGGAATGTCTTTCCACTTCTTTGTGTCATTTTGAATTTCTTTCATCAGTGTTTTATAGTTTTCAGAGTACAAGTCTTTCGCCTCTTTGGTTAAGTTTATTCCTACATATTTTTGGTGCCATTGTAAATGGGACTTTCTTAATTTCTCTTTCTGCTGCTTCGTTATGAGTATATAGGAATGCAACAGATTTCTGTACATTGATTTTATGTCCTGCGACTTTACTGAGCTATCAATTCTGGTTTTTTTGGTGGAGACTTTAGTCTTTAGTAAAGTCCTGCGACCTGAGCTATCAATTGTAGTTTTTTTGGTGGAGAAAGGGTTCTTTCTCTACAGTATCATGTCATCTACAAATAATGAGAACTTTACTTCTTCCTTACCACTTTGGATGCCTTTTATTTCTTTATGTTGTCTAATTGCTGTGGCTAGGACTTCTAATACTATGTTGAATATCAGTGGTAAGAGTGGATATTTTTATCTTGTTCTAGACCTTAAGGGAAAAGCTCTCAGTTTTATCACCATTAGGTTGATATTCCTGAAGGTTTTTCATATGAGGCCTTTATTATGTTGAGGTATGTTCCCTCTAGACCTGTTTTGCTGAGGGTTTTTTATCATGAATGGATGTTATCCTTTGTGACATGCTTTTTCTGCATCTGTCAAAATCATCATTTGATTTTTATCCTTTCTTAATGATGTGACATATCATGTTGGTGGTTTTGTGAATATTGAAACAACCTTGCATGTTGGGAATAAATCCCACTTGATCATGGTGTGTGATTTTTTAAAATATAGTTTTGGATTCAGTTTGCTAATATTTTGAGGATTTTTACATCTATATTTGTGAGAGATGTTTGCATGTATTTTTCTTTTTTCATGGTGTCTTTATCTGATTTTGGTATTAGGGTGATAATAGACTTCTTGGAATGAATTTGGAAGTTTTCCTTTGTCTTCTTTTTTTTTGGAATAGTTCGAGAATAGGTATTACATCTTCTTTAAATGGTTGGTAGAATTCACCCATGAAGCCATTTGTTCCTGGAATTTTGTTTTTTTTGGGAGTTTTTTGATTACTGATTCAATTTCATTGCTGGTAATTTGTTCAAATTTTGCATTTCTTCCTGCTTTAGTTTTGGTACATTATGTGTTTCTAGGAATTTATCCATTTCTTCTAAGTTGTCCAATTTCTTGGCATGTAGGTTTTCCTAATATTATGTTATAATTTTTGTATTTCTGTGGTGTTGGCTGTTATTTCTCCTCTTTCATTAGTGATTTTGTTTGTTTAGGTCCTCTCTCTTTTTTTGATGAGTCTGGTTAGAAGTTTATCCATTTTGTTGATCTTTTCCAAGAATGAGCTCTTGGGTTTCATTGATCTGTTGTATTTTTTTTTTTTTTTTTAGTTTCTATTTCATTTATTTCTCCTCTGATCTTTATTATTTCTTTCCTTCTGCTGTTTTTAGGTTTTACTTGTTGTTCTTGTTCTAGCTTCTTTAGGTGTAAGGTTAGGTTGTTTATTTGTGATTTTTCTTGCTTCTTGAGGTAGACCTGTACTGCTGTAAACTTCCCTCTTTTGAACCACTTCTGCTGCATCCCAGAGGTTTTGGACTGTTGTGTCTTCATTTTCATTTGTTTCTATTTACTTTTGCATTTATTCTTTATTTCTTGGTTAACTCATTCATTATTTAGTAGCATGTTGTTTAATGTACATGTTTTTGTAGTCCTTCCAGATTTTTTCTTGTGGTTTATTTCTAGTTTCTTAGCATTGTGATCAGACAAGATGCATGGTATGACTTTGATCATTTTGAATTTGTTGAGACTTGTTTTGTGGCCTAATATGTGATGTGTTCTGGAGAATGTTCTGTATGAACTTGAAAAGAATGCATATTCTGCTGTTTTCAGAAGAAATGTTCTCAATATGTCTGTTAAATTTATCTGGTCCAGTGTGTCATTCAAGTCCACTGTTTTTTTTTTGTTGCTGTTCTGTTTGGATGATCTATCCATCAGTGTAAGTGGGGTGTTAAAGTCCCCTATTATTATTGTATTACTATTGATTATTTCCCTTTATGTTTGTTATTAACTGTTTTATGTATTTGGGTGTTTTCATGTGGGGTGCATAAGTATTATAATTGTTGTATCTTCTAGTTAGATTCTCCCCTTTTTATTATATAGTGTCTTTCTTTGTCTCATATTACAGTTTTTGTTTTAAAATCTAGTTTTTCCAGTGTAAGTATTTCTACCCAAGCTTTCTTTTCACTTCCATTTGTATAATAAATGTTTCTCCATCCCCTTATTTCAATCTGCAGGTGTCTTTTGGTCTGAAATGAGTCTCTTGTAGGTAGCATATCGATGGGTCTTGTTTTTTTTTTTATCTGTCACCATATGTCTTTTGATTTGAGCCTTTAGTCTATTTACATTCAATGTAATTATTGAAGATATGTATTTGTGGCCATTTTGTTACTTGTTTTTTGGTTGTTTCTATAGATTTACTCTGATCCTTCTTCTCTTGCTTTTTTTCATGGTTTGTTGACTTTCTTTAGTGATATACTTAGATTCCTTTCTCTTTATTCTTTGCTTACCTATTCTTGGTTTTTGATTTGTGGTTACCAGTAGGTTTGTATATAACATCTTCTGCATATAGCAGTCTATATTAAATTGATTCTTGCTTAAGTTTGAAATCTTTCTAACTCTTCCCCACTGCCATGTTTTAGGTATATGTCATGTTTTACATTCGTTTTTTTTTTTTTAATGAATCCCTTGACTGATTTTTACAGAAATACATATTTCACTGCTTTTGTGTTTTTTACTTTTCATATTCTCACTTATGGTCTTTCTTTTCCACTCAAAGAGCTCCCTTTAATATTTATCATAGGGCTAGTTTAGTGGTCATGAACTCCTTTAGTTTTTGTCTGAGAAACTCTTTATCTTTCTTTCTATTCTGAATGATAGCCTTGCTGGTTAGAATATTCTTGGCTGCAAATTTTTCCCTTCCAGCACTTTGAATAGATCATACCACTCCCTTCTGGCTTACAAGGTATCTGCTGAAAAATCTGCTTATAGCCTTATGGGGTTTTCCTTATATGTAACTGTCTTTTGTCTTGTTGCTTATATTTTTTTCTTTATAACTACCTTTTGGGGCGCCTGGGTGGCGCAGTCGGTTAAGCGTCTGACTTCAGCCAGGTCACGATCTCGCGGTCCGTGAGTTCGAGCCCCGCCTCAGGCTCTGGGCTGATGGCTTGGAGCCTGTTTCCGATTCTGTGTCTCCCTCTCTCTCTGCCCCTCCCCCGTTCATGCTCTGTCTGTCTCTGTCCCAAAATAAATAAAAAAAACGTTGAAAGAAAAAAAAATATAACTACCTTTAACATTTAATTACTATTTGTTTTGGTGTGGACCTCTTTGGATTGAATATTTTGGGGGATCTCTGTGTTTCCTGGATCTGGATATCTGTTTCCTTCTCCAGATTAGGGAAATTTTCACCTGTTATTTTTAAAAAAAATTCTGCCCCTTTTCTACCTTTTTCTGAGATCCCTCTAATCTAAATGTTATTATGTTTGATGGAGTCTCTGAGTTCTCTGAGACTATTCTCATTTTGCATAACTTTCTTCTCCTATGCTCAACTAGGTTACTTTCCATTGCTCTGTCTTCCAGGTCATTAATTTGTTCCTCTTCTTCATCTAGTGTGCTATTCTCTCAAGTGTATTTTTAATTTCATTTATTATGTTCTGGATCTCTGATTGGTTCTTTTTTTTTTTTTTTTATCATCTCTGTGTTAAGGGTCTAACTGATGTTGTGTACTTTTTTCTCAAGTCCAGTGAGTATCTTCATGGTCATTACTTTAAATTCTCTATCAGTCATATTACTTATATCTGTTTCCCCTAAGTCTCTTGCTGTGGTTTGGTCCTGTTCATTCATTTGGGACATGTTTCTCTGTCTCTTCCTTTTGTCTAACTCTCTGTGCCTGTTTCTGTGTGTTAGAGAAGTCAGCTACCTCTTGCTCTTAATAGTAGCCTTATGAAGAAGAGGTCCTGTAGAACTCTGCAGTGCAGTGTCCCCTGTTCCTCAGGGCCTGGAATTTCAGGGAATGTCTCCTATGTGTGTTGCATTTGCCCTGCTGTTAAGTCTTGGCCTCTTTTTACTTCAGTCCGGTTGTCTGCAGAGGCTCTCTTTGCCTACTGTGGGCAATGTTTGGTCCCCAGCAGGGTGGTGGGGGGTGGGGTGCGTTTTAACATGTGTGGTGAAATGCTTGTGAAATGAGATCTGCTTTGTCGATGGAACTGAGGTCCCTCAAAATGTGTAGGTTGGGAGATATTCTGTGCTGTTCTTCTGGGGAAGGGGGCCTGGAGCTACTGGACCAATGGGAGTGTGACTGGGAAGAGTGGATCTGCTGAAGTGAAGTAGGTGGGGGACTTGGTGCAAACAAATTAGGTAATGAGTATTGACCCATGCTGGTTCCTACAGGTGGCCGTTGTTTATGCTGGTGTATCGAGGAGGGAAATGGTGCCTGCCAGCTCTTTTGCTTCTGAAGGGGTCTCTCTGTTTTCTCTGTCTCTCCAGGCCATGCTCTGAGATGAGTAAATCACTCTCTCTCTTCTGCCCTGGCATTTTTCACACTGCTGGTTCTATGCTGTATCTGCACAGGTTGTTGCTGTACTATCTTTTTAGGGACTCAGCTTCCTAATGCCCTCTGGGCTGTGCCAGACCTGAGTTGGCTGATTTTTAAAATTCCAGGCTTTAAATCCCGCTGGTTGTAAGAACTCAAGAAATTCACCTCCTCTTGCTTTCAAAGGCAAATGTTATGGGGATTTGTCCTCCCCATTCTTAGGCTCTCTGGTGTGAAAGTCTGGTTTTTGCCCTTCTCTGCACTACCAGCTCTCTCCCCACCTGGATAGCCATTGTCTGTTTCACTCTCAAACCATGTTTTACCCTTCCTGCCTGCCCTGATGTGGCCTCTTCTCTACCTTTAGTTGTGGAGTTTGTTCTGTCAGGCTTTGGATCACTTTCTGCTTATTTATGCTAACGTGAGTGTTATCTAGTTGTATCCATAGGATGAGGTGAGCTTAGAGTCCTCCTACTCTGCCGTCTTCCCAGCTGAGCAATCCTGGTATTTTTCTTTTGGAAAAGAAATTGACATCTCCCCATGTTAGGGCATTGGACTTTCAAACTTTTATTAATTTAATTTTCTTCTTCTAAGTCTTTCTTGTACCTCCATAATTTTTTATTCTTTTCTCATGACTCTATTTTCTTATCTGACATTCTTTTGATGTTCCCTTACTCCCTCAATTGAATGATGAGAATCTCCCCATTTCTATTATGGTGAGGTCCAGGACTGATCCTGAGATTACAGGGATTTCTGATGGGGATGAGGATGGAGGAAGAACCCCTGGTTCTGTAGTTAACCATTAGTTGAGTAGTGGGGGGCCACTTCCTCCCCCCTTAGAAGAGATGTATATTGGAAATACAGGCATCTGAAAGTTCAAGGCTCAGAGCCAGCTATATTCCTAGCCATTATACCCATATCTGGGTGGATACCATTTCCATTGGGGATTATCAAAAGAGGGCTACTTACCCAGTCCCAAATGCAAATGACCTGGGTATCATGGAGCAGTTGCTCATCCCTGAGGTGGACACACAAAGGAGTCATTTTGTTATAAGGATCTAGAAATGTCTCCCTAAGGGCCCTGAGCCCTGCTCACATCCTTAGTTTGGAGTATAGCCAAAGAAGGAGAGGTTGGAACTTATGGGGAAACTAAAGAGAGGCAGATGCAGATTATGGCACCAGCCATCCTGGTTGCTTGCACCAGACATATGGTCATTTGCAAAGCAGAGCAAATCATGGCCACCATGATTCTGTGTTTAAGCAGTGCTGGGCATTAGGAGTTAGCCAAATGTCTCAGTCCCTGGGCACTGCCACTAGAGCAGGTCCTTGATTTCTCACTTCTTACCTACTTTTTTTGTATGGAAAATGGATACAATGAGACTTTAATTCTCCTTATCCTATTCTGAGTCTCTTCTCCCCACCCCCACCCCCTCCTGCTCTCCCTCACCTTTTAGGAAAACTAACAACAGCAGCAGTTACATCCTGGGTCATCAGGTGGGTATTCCCAGAGTCCTGCAGTGACCTCTTTGAAAATCAGCCTTTCTTGGATAAAGGAGAGTATCCTTTAAGCTGAGGTAAACTTGGCACTTTTGACCTGTTGACCCTTAGGGATTGGCAGCCAAGAACTTTCCTCTATATCTCATGATGGATTCTGCCTGGCCCTATTTCCTTATCATTCTGGAATGGAGGTGATTGACCACGCTTGGGGCAAGATCAGAACAATTCTTTCTGGACTTGTTATATTTAAAGATTCTCAAGAAGTTTCGGACTGTTAATGAGCTCTGTTTTGGGGAGGGTCTAGAAAAGCATAGAGTAGTTTTAATTCCCAGAAAGACCCCTAGGCTAGTCAGAATCTCCTTTTGATTTGCTCCTCCCCGTGATTACTCCACCTATATTTGAAGTGATGGGACTTGTAAACCCCTGAAATAAATCTTACTTCATTCTGACATTGGAGGATATTTCACTGGGCCCAGTTATTTATATCCTTGATACTCAAAGTCTGGTTCACGAGTCAGCAGTTTTGGCGTCATGTGGTACTCTCTTAGAAATACAGAATCTCAAGCTCACGCTAGACCTACTGAATAAGAATCTGCTTTTTAACAAGGTATACAGGTGATTTGTATACATGCAAAAGTTTGAAAAGCCCTGATTTATAAATTTCTTCTTGGATGGGTGAAGGAAGAAACTCCAGATACGGCTTTTATGCTATAATTCTAGGCTTCTGGGTGTTTTGAATATTTTCCTGTAACACTAAAATTTTCATCTGGGCATAGGACTGTAGTTTAGAACTAAAATTTGACCACCATGAATAAGCATTCTGTTCTGATGTCCCCACTATTTAAGCCCTATGCCAGCCCTAGTAAGCCCATACAGCAGACTTCTATGCTTGCTGCCCCTCCTCTGCTGAAAAGAGGTAGGTCTCACTGAGGGTTGAGAGTATCCTCAGGTCCTCAACAGTCATCCCATGGGAGAAAAGGATCCCTCTGTGCCCATCTCGGTAATTGGGCTGGACAGAGGAGAGACTAGCAGTGCTCCTGCAAGTTCAAGGAAAGTCCATGTCCACTTGGCTGAAGGGGGAAAAGAAAGGAGGATCTCGACTCCAGCTCTTACCCAAAGGAAAGATGAAACTTTGGGTTGAACTCCCTCTTGTTCCCTCCCACCACTTTTGGCTTATCCAAACCTTGAAATACTGCTTTTTTACCTCGAATCCGAGCATCTTCCTGCAGCTGAAAGATAATGAGAATTCAGAGAGAGTCAGAGACTTAGAGGCCATCCATCTCCTCTGAAACTTCAGCGTACCAGCTGTACACTTACTTGGTCAAATGTAGGAATGTCTATGTGGAAAATAGGGGCTTTTAGGGATTGGAATTAAATTCTAAGTTTCCTGAAAGCAGAATTTTGTGTTGTTTTTATATCCCTCACACCAAACCACTTAATATAATGCCCTGCATACAGCATATGCTCAATAAATGTTTGTTGAATGATGAATAAATAAATAGGACAAGATGTGGCCTCTTTAGGGGTGGGAGACACAATTCATTACTCTCTTTTACTTTTTTATGTTTTTTTTTGCTCTCCCTTTTCTGGCCCCCTTTTACCCTCCTCTCTGCATCTCCAGTGGTTCTCTGAGGAGAACTATTAAACATCTATGATGGACCTTAAAAAAAAAAATCCTTCTTACCCATCCTAGAGTGAACAGCTGCTGCTGATACACTTTGGGACCCCTGAACAAACAGGAGCCTGGTAGATCATCTTTCTACCTAACGATGCTCTAAGCATGGGTCCTAAGGTTTGCCTAATCAAAAAGAAAGTACATTCTAATTCTACCTCTCTGCTATCTTTTGTTTGACATTCTTCTCTCAGTATTTAAGTATAAAAATTTTTCTTAGTAAGTCTGTAAGTAAGGAGTATGTTTGTTTGTATCAGCCTGGGGGAATTTATGAAGACAGGGATTTATCTGGTGGATCCCATGAAGAAGCGCTAGAAGAGAGCTTCAGCATAGAGGACATCAGAGGGGACTTTTAACTTAATATATAAGCCTTGTGAGGATGGAAATCAACACACACAAGTCTCACTTATAGATAGGCTTCTCCTCTTACTAATTCAAGCGTTATCTGGAGGAGACTCAGGCCTAAAGGGACTAAAGTTCTGGGTAGGGTAGAGGCACCCTGACCCTAAGGTAAAACTTGGGTGAAAATATCAAGTTTCTTATCTCTACCTAATGCCGCCTTTTACTTGCAGCCAGGTGGAGGCAAAGACTGCTCTAATTTTCCCTAGAGTAAGTCCTGGACATAGCAGCAGGATACAATGACATAGCTTCCTGGGACCATAGAAGGGGCTCAGTTCTAAGGCGAAGATAGTGATTTAGAAGAGGTTTATTTTCAGTGCTTTGTCAATCAATTTATACATGACTTCTTGCCAACTAGAAAGAGAGAGCTACTGTTTCTGAGACCACTGGAAGCTCATATTATACTTAGATGCTAATTTTAATGAAACTGTGTCTTTATTCAGAGGAACAAAAGTTAAGAATCTGTGTAGAAGTTTCCCATTTGCTTTGGTTTTATGATATTAGTACCTGTCCTAAGTTATGTGTTTACCTATGTAAATAGTCTACTGATAGGTCATTGTGTAGACAGTGCCTATTGTTGTCCACTGTAACAGACAGAAAAAAAAAAGGCGGGACAGCAGGCTTGATAGGACCCAGATATATCAACACCTTGAGCAAGCTGGGGACAGTGCATGTTTGAGTATATTTTTAAAATATTTGATCAGTATTTGTATAGAAAAAGACTGAAATCTATGTGGAGGGAGAGCAGAGGAGGAGGAATGTTTCTATTTAGCAGAGACATTTAGCTCTGACCTCTAATTTGCACTTCCCTACAGTGAATAGACATACTTGTCTAATAAGGAATTTACCACATCACTTGGGGACTCTTCCTAACTCAGTCATTTATCAGTGTTTCATATAATTACACAGTATTCTTGCTCAGAGAAGTTCTGGTAGATACAATTTTCTCTATTGTCATATTTCCACGAGGGGATTGTTAGGCATCTTCTTCCCTTAGCTTCCTGAACTGACAAGCCAGTGCTGCTCTTTAAAGGGAGAATTCACTAGATAAAGGACTGAAACTTAAACTTTGATCAGAGTTAACATCACAGTAGGGTATGGAAAACATGGGAGCAAGGGAAAAGTGATGTGGCCAGGGAATTTAGAAAATTGAAATTTAATCTCACCTCTTTTTGTATATCCCTAAAAGCCATTAGTACCTGAAAGAAGACACAAAACTTGTGAAAAAATTAATTTATAGACTTTATTACAAAGGGATTATATATATAGAATCTTCCAGCTATTAGGCTGTAGGGTGTGAATGCCAAGAGACCATGGCTTCCTAGCTTTAGCAATAGATCCCATTGACTTCTCTACATATATCTGGGCCACCATTTCTCCATATGGTAAATGGGTGAAATGCAGGAAGTTATTTAAAAAGGGCTGAGTTGTGAGAGGAATATAAGTGAAACCTATTATACTTTGTTTAATTGGTCCTTGTTCTGAAGCTAAGCATAGCTATTAAAGTCAACACATATTTGTATTGGAGGACAACACCAAATATTGGTGAAGATACAGAGCAGTCAGAACTCTCCTACATTGTTGGAAGGAGTGTAGAATTGTATATTCACTTTGGAAAAAGCTTTGGCAGTTCTTGTAAAACTGACTATGTACCTACCCTCACACCTAGCCATGGATGGATAGAATGACTGTTAGAAATCTGAGTTGCCTCATTTTGGGAGAAGGATGAAGACTTTGAGACAGATAGTTATGTCTTGTTTGGTAGAAATATAGAGTTGTTTTTGTTGAAATTCAGGAGTTTCAACAGGTGTGTGCAGGTGCATATGGAAGCTGGATAGTCTGTGGGGTAGACTATGCCAGTTACCAGCTTACTACCTTTGTTCACTCTTTGTTTTATCATATCCTTTTTTATGTCATAGGTATCCAATTATGTATTGGTTCTCA